CCCCGCTCCCCGCCGCCGCTGGGCCTGCCCCGGGCCTGCGGGCCGGTTGCTATGGAGACCCGGCGGGGGGGCCGCGCCCCCGTCGCCCTCCCGGTGCGACCCCACGGGGCTGTCCCCCGGGGAGGAGGCCGCTGGGAGCGGGGTCCGGCGGCGCACGGGTGCCTCCAGCCGGGCCAGGCCGCCCCCGGTGACACCGGTAGCCCCGGGGAGCGGCCGTGAGGGGCTGCCCGGGATCCCCCCTGCGGCCCGAAGGGCACCGGGGAGGGACACACGCGGCTGCTGCGGGACGTGCTGCCCCCGGGCCGGCTGCCGGTGTCCCGGGTGGGTGTCTCCCTGTCGGTCCCGGTGTCCCGGGGCGCCTATTTCCCCGCGGTGTCCCGAGGTGGTGTTTCCTCCTCGTCCCGGGGTCGGTCCCCCCTCCTCCTCTCCCCGGTACCGGTGCCCTGGTTGGGTGTTTCCCTGTCGGTCCCGGTGTCCCGAGGCTGGTATTTCCCCCGGGTGGGTGTTTCCACCAGGTCCCGGTGTCCTTGGGAGGGAGTTTCCCTGCCGGTACTGGTACCCTGAGGTGTGTGTTTCTCCGTTGGTCCCGGTGTCCTGGGGCAGGTGTTTCCTCCTCATCCCAGCGACCCGGGGTCGGTGTTTCCCCCCGGTACCGGTGCCCTGGGGGTCCCAGGGTGCGTGTTTCCCCCCGGTACCGGTGCCTTGAGTCGGGTGTTTCCCTGTTGGTCCCGGGGCGGGTGTTTCCCCCCGGTACCGGTGCCCTGTGGGTCCAGGGGCGGGTGTTTCCCCCGGTACCAGTGCCGTGTGGGTCCTGGGTCGGGTGTTTCTCCCCGGTACCGGTGCCCTATGGGTCCCGGGGTGCGTGTTTCCCCCCGGTACCGGTGCCTTGAGTCGGGTGTTTCCCCCCGGTACCGGTGCCCTGTGGGTCCCGGGGCGGGAGTTTCCCCCCGGTACCGGTGCCCTGTGGGTCCCGGGGTGGGTGTTTCCCCCCAGTACCGGTGCCGTGTCGGTCCCAGGGTGGGTGTTTCCCCCGGTACTGGTGCCTTGAGTCGGGTATTTCCCTGTGGGTCCCGGGGCGGGTGTTTCCCCCCAGTACCGGTGCCCTGAGTTGGCTGTTTCCCCCGGTACCGGTGCCCTGTGGGTCCCGGGGCAGGTATTTCCCCCCAGTACCGGTGCCCCGTGGGTCCTGGGGCGGGTGTTTCCCCCCGGTACCGTGGGGGCCTCTCCCGGTGCCCTCCCTCACCCCAATCCCTCCCTCCCGTAGTGCCCGGAGCCCCGCGGCGGCGGCGACGAAGATGCCCGACCGTGACAGCTACAACAACGGTGG